ATAGCATGGAGGACATTAGGAGAAGGAAGGGGAAAATGAAGGGGGGGAAATTGGAGGGAGAGATGAACCATGAGAGACTATGGACTCTGAGAAACCAACAGGGTTTTAGAGCGGAGGGGGGTGGGGGGATCGGTTAGCCCAGTGATGGGTATTAAGGAGGGCACATATTGCCTGGAGCACTGGGTGCTATACGAAAACAATGGATCGTGGATCACTACATCAAAAACTAATGATGTATTGTATGGTGACTAACATAACTTAGTAAAATTTAAAAAAAAGTAAATGAAATCACTAATTTGAAAAGATATATTCATCCCTATGTTTATTGCAGCATTATTTACAGTAGTCAAGAATGGAAGCAACCTAAGTGTCCATCAATAGACAAATGGATAAGGAAGGTGTTTGTATATATACACACACACACTTGCACACATCCCCATACACACACACAATGGAATATTACAGAGTCATAAAGGAGTAAAATATCATGCCATTTGAGAAAACATGGATGGACCTAGAGGGTATTATGTTAAGTGATATATGTCAGACTAAGAAAGACAAATACTGGGACATCTGGTTGGCTCAGTTAGTTGAGTGTCTGACTTCAGCTCAGTTTATGGTCTAGGGTCCTGGGATCAAGCCCCAGGTCAGACTCCCCATTTAGCAGGGAATCTGTTTGTCCCTCTGCCTCTGTCCCTGCCCCTTCTCTGCTTGTGCTTTCTTGTTCTCTCTCTCTCCCTTAAATAAATAAATAAATAAATACAAATACCATGTGATTCCACTCATATGTGGGACCTAAATAAATGAATAAACAAAAAGTAGAATCAGACCCATAAACGCAAAGAACAAACTGATGGGGAGGGGAGTGGGGATATGGGCAAAATATGTGAGGAGATGGGGGAGATACAGGCTTCCAGTTAGGGAATAAAAGGGGATAAAAGGCACAGTAAAAAAAGAGTATAGTTAATGATATTATAATAGTGATATTATGGTAGCTACATTTGTGGTGAACATAGCATAATGTATAAACTTGTCAAATCACTATGTGGTGTACCTGAAACTAATGTAACATTGTGTGTCAACTATACTCAAAAAAAGAACAAATAAAAAAGATTCGAAGGGTGTCAGGAGCTAATAAAGATTCAATCATAGAGACAATCAGACATAATGGAAAGAGTATGTGATCTGTGTGCAAGTTCCCACTTGAACTTCCTAACTGTTAACCCCTGGGCAAAAAAAAAATTCCCTTTCTGATTTTCACTTTCTTCTTCTGTAAAATGTGAGTAATGATAGCTATCTCATGAGTTAAATGTGGGATTCAGTTACAGAATGTGTGTTAAGTTCTTGTGAACTGTATCTGGCAAATATGATTTGCTTAGTGAATGTCACTTTCCCCTTTACCATCTTTATCTTCTTAACCTATAACATGACAGGTGTTGTCTCCAGCCTTATTACCATCAGTCTGGAATTTTTCTTTTTTTGTGATTGTACAACCCAGGACACCCCCTCTCTCTACACACACAAACTCTCTTCTCTGGAATAAAGGCACTACTGTACTGAGTTATCTCCAGTACAAGGTGGTCCATTGCTAGGATCACCAAGAGAAAGGGTTGCTTACCTTTGACCACAAACTTCACAATGTTGCTGCGCTGCTCAGAGCCTACCCGGCCCTTGGCAGTACAGAAATAGGAGCCTGAGTCAGCCACCACGGCAGACTTGAAGAGTAAGGTACTCAAGACTGCTACTTTGATGGGTTCTTGATTGTTGGTCTGTTCCTTGTACCAAACATAACTGATGGGAGGAGAACCCCAAGCCTGGCATTGAAGGCTAATCCTCATTCCCTGGGGCACTGTGAAGCCATAGCCACTGCCAGTCGTCACTGTGGGCTTGGAAACAGAGACTGCAAAGTGAAGACAAGAGAGGAGGCTCTGGGAAGTTACAAGAATATGTGGAGACAAGGCTGAGTCATCCTTGCTGGGTATAGGGATAATTATATATCTGCAAAGGGAACTAAAAGGGGCTCCTGACTTGGGAGGGGGTAAGAAATAGGATAATGTAAATAAAAATAGCTTTCTTTGGAAGATTAGGTACTGTTTTGTGTTATCTGGAGGTTTGGATTATTTGGATTTACAAATCAACTGATTTTTTTTTTAAATATATAGAGAGATTATTTTAGCCTTTAGTAGATCGAGATTTTGGATTATCTGCAGTTTTGGATTACCAGGGCCAGGTTTTCACAAAACTGTCAAGTCAGCAAACTGTATCTTGGCTAACCCCCATATCTCTTTCCCCAGATCTTCTCTGTCAGCATCTATTTACTCTCCAATACTCTGATAAGATAGATATACTTATTTTTATGAGTTTTAAGACCCATAGCTGAAGGAGGGCAACCAGGGTGTGGATGCTAGAATTTCTGGGATGCTTGAAGGCGTAGAGATTTGAGGGCCAGGAACCCTTCCCAACATTTCTTAAATTATACTGTGAGAGTGATGACCTTGAGGATCCTCTCCCTGTCCACTTCCCCTGATTAGCACATATGACTGAAGAAAGCCTGTGTACAAGTAAATAAAATTCTCTGGATTTCTAAAGCTTTCCTAGTATTATAGTCCTCTATTTGTTCTTTGTCACTCAGTGCTTTCCTATCATCACAGTTACTCACGTTTCTGGACACGGAGCTCAATGATCTTATCTCTCACCACTTGGTTGCCATTAGGGGTCTGCCAAGTGACTTCACATGTGTAGTGGCTCCGGTCATCCATCTCCAGGGTATTCAGTTGGAGGGACACATCTCCTGGAACCTTGTGGTTCACTTGCAGACGGCCCCGGTACTTTGCTTGCTGGATATGGTCTCCAGAGGAATCACGTAGGAAGATGGTGACTGGGTCCAAGCCACGTTGTACCAGCCACTTTACCAAGACTTGAGTGTAGCCTTGCAGAGAACCATAGGTGCAGGGAATATTCACATCTCCTTTCCAAGGCCCTGTCACACTCTCAGGTGCTTCCAGGATGGGATGGCCTGAAAAGGAGGAAGAAAGTGGACATAGATGGCACACCCGCTTGGGAGCTAGGATGGCAGTGGCAGACCTCAGGAGACTTCTGAGAAACACCTCTCAAATTTCCTTCCATCATACTTTTGGATTCCATGTGCCCTTTTGTTCTCTGCCAGCCTTCCCATCAATCAGAACCAGTCCTCAGAAGGAAAACTCTTAACACCGTTTGGCTCTTGTCTGTTTCAAGTTCCTTTCCCATCACTGCCTTGCTGTGAGATGACCCTGGATAAGTCACTTTCCACCATGAGGACCCATTTTCTTCATCTATAATGTAGAGAGTTTGAATGGAATGATCTCTAGGGATTCTTTAAACTCTGAAGTTCTGTAAGTCTATGAAAAAGAACTTCTTTCAGTATTTTCCAAAAGAAGTGTAGGAGCAAATGCTGAACAGTTGTGTCTAGGTTATTTTATTATGTAATTATATACCTGGAGAAATGTGGGGGCTGCAGGGCTAAGAAAGAAAGGGCCATATTCCCCGCTTATTCCCTATTGCTCCCTCAGAAAGCCTCAGTATTTGGGTCCCTGACCCTAAGCCCTTCTCTGGAAGGAAGGAAGGACACAGGGCAATTCTGAGGGTGGAAACTTGTGTGAAATGTACTCCTGTTTAACAAAATCATTGGTTATTGTTAAGTTTGAAATCTGCACTTTGTAAGCCTGAACTTTTTTTTCTGATTTATCTTTATTTCCCTTTTGCTTTCTCTTAGATTTCACCAAAGGTACATTGGAAAATTCCATCTTGAGGAGGAATAGAGAGGAAAATGTCTGGAAAGGAAAAGGGTCTGAATAAAATCCTAAAGCTGGCTGTGGTAGGAATGGTAGTAGGACCAAAAAGAGATTGTTCCTTGGTGTGCTGGGGAGGGAAACATGGTGGAGAGGAATTGGGAGTGTTGAGAGAGGCATCACTTCCTATTAGAAATTTTCATTCAGAGTGCCTGGGTGGCTCAGTCAGTTAAGTGTCTGCCTTCATCTCAGGTCATGATCCTGGGGTCCTGGGATTGAGCCCTGTGTCAAGTTCCCTGCTCAGCAAGGAGTGTGCTTCTCCTTTTCCCTCTGCCCCTCTCCCTTCTCATGCTCTCTCTCTCTGAAATAAAAAAAATCTTAAAAAAAGAAATTTTCATTCATAAGCTCATATTTTGAGGATTTTGTGTTTTATTTAACTCCAACCAGGAGTGAGGGATTCTATGTAGACAATTTATTTATGTCTGTCCTAGAAGAAGGAGGTTCAAAATGTGAGATATTACTGAATAAAAGCCTGTTATGTAGCCCAGGATTCTCAGGCTTCAATCAAACAAATGGTAGGGTGGGAGCATGCCTTCTAGCTCCCAGAATTTGTTGCCAAGTACCAAGTCCCAGGGGAGAGACTAAAGTCAGGCCTCTAGCCTGTGCCCTCACCATGGATTCTTAGAACATCAGAACATCACTAGCATATTTGGCCTCGAGTAGAAAAGAATAAATAAACATGAGTCCATGTTGCTAAATCCGCCACATAGTCTCTGGAGAGTTTCAGATTAGGCAGGGAGCAGAACTCAGACCCATGAATGGGAGTGCAACAGGGGCAGATTTTGGTTTGCCCTAACAATGAACTTTATAATTAATTAGAGCTGTTTATTGATGAACTAAGCAGTCTGGGAGAAGTTCTGAGCTTTGTTTAAGTCTTGGACAGCATTACTCCTTAAGATCCCCTCCAATCCTAGATGATTCAGTGCTAATAGGCTATAATGGAAATGGAAGTTAAATAATTACATTTTCTAGCTGGTGGTGAACTTTCACCAGATGGTGGTGAGTGTCACTGTACTATTGCTAGTTCAGGCCTCCATATGCATTCAGATGCAGCTTATCATCATCATGAACATGCATGTGTCACTTACAAGCACACACATACCAGCCTTAAGCCCCATGAAAACCATCTGAACCTTTCAGTTTAATGTGCTCTTTCCCATTAATCTTCCAGCTCTCACAAATCTCCTGCCCCTCCTCTGAAAAGCATTCTTGTATACTTTTCCTGACAACAAACAGCATTCTGCTGTGAGGACATCTGGAACAGCTGAAAATGCCTTTGTCTATGTGTATGTATATCTTCCCTCTGGCCTTGGGGGAACTGCAAAGCTTGGCTTGCATTACCCTCTCTGGGAACTTACTGGGGATTCTCACATAGCCCACTCTGGCCTGTCAATTATGTGAATAGCCAGTCTCAATTTCTCAATCTTGAAAGTCACTTCTAAAAGTATGTCAGGCTTGATTCCTACATTCCAGAATAGGGGCATGGGACAGAGTTAGTAACCAGACTTCAAAGAATTACATGTTTTTGCCCCCTTTACTTCCTCCCTTCCTTCTTCTTTCCTTCCTTCAGTGTATCCTTCCATCTAATTTCTATTCTTCCTCCTCATTTCCTCCTCTTTCTCCTCCTGCTTCATTAGTATCACAAAGAGACAGTTTATGGTAGGCACGAGGCATCACACACCTAAAAAAGACATTGTATATTATGTACTCTGATTTCCAAAGTGAAGGTAACCTCAATAGAATTGACTTATACCTTCCAACTATCCTTGTGGTTTTCAGAGAGCCTAGAGAAACACTGAATAGAAGGGACACCAAGCTAACATATATCTGGCATCTCCCTCTAAAGATATGGAACAAGTAGATGTGCAGTAAGAATCCCTTTGCTGTATCTTGGGTCTCTCTTAGTTATTACTTAGGCTTAGTTACCTAAAAGTCTATCTCAATTCTCAGGGATGTAAAAGAGGATGGAGGAATACTCAAGGAAATAATGCTTCTATGGGATAGTAAGACCTCTTTTCGGATACATATCCAGCATTAATTTCCCACACGTAGCCTGGACAAACTGGGCCATATTCACAGGAAACTGAGTTACCCCAGGAGATGGTAAGAAACAAGTCCTGTGAAGACCAGTTGAAGGAGTTAGGGCTTGTTTATCTTGGAGAAGAGATGAATCAAGAGGAATGATGTCTGCCCTCAGAACTCTAAAGGGCTGTCACAGCATCGAGGGCGTAGATATGTTCTATGTGTCTCTAAGAAAAAGAGCTAGGGCCTTAGAATGGAAGCCACAAGGAAGTATATTTAGTTCAACACAAGGAAGAACATCTTAACATTTGTAGCTGCCCCTGGATAGACTAGATACTCTGGAAATGTCATCAACTCTCAGTCACTGGAAGTTATGTGAACAGATATTTTGAGCACTGTTCATAACAGCCAAGTTCTAGGTCACTTTTAAGGTCCCATCTAGCTTTTAGACAACATTCCTTCTTTGAGGGTTGTATATATTAACAGGGATCAAGACCTGGAGACAGAGGGGTTAATGTATAATGGTAGAATTTCAGGTGAAATAAGATGGAGGAGGGATTTGAATGGCATTGGGCACCTTCTTAATGTCCCTGAGATATGACAAGTACTAGAAAATCATGTGGATGTTTTTCAAGAGAGGATCTTTTTCAATTTCCATCCAAACTTACCTCCTGGCTTCTTCAGCAGGCTTCAACTACCCAAAGCTGAGAGAGTCTGCAGCACAGTCTGAGAACATTCACCTATTCAGCAGGAATAGGCTTTCCCCAGTAGCCATTCAATCCCCAACCCTCAGCCTTTTGCTGGTGCCAGCAGTGGTAACCAGGCCCCCATTTGCTGCCTTACCATAGGTGACCACTGTTAGGTGGTCCAGGAGCAGGAGGCCCAGTAAGAGCCCCATCGCAGCCAGAACCACTTCTGTCCTTTCTTCTCGCCTCCTGTTGTCAAAGAGGCTTGAACTTCTGATGGCTGCCAGCGTCTGTGCTTGCTCACTTCCCTTCCTTCTCTATATCTCTCACTTGGATTCCCAGCCCCATCTCACATTCTCCTTCCTTCCCTATTTCAGCACAAGTCACGTGAGTATCTCCACCTTCCCCTGCCTGGGATTGGAGGTTCAGGGTGAGTGAAGAAATCTCCCCCACCCCAGCGTGTTGACTTGACTTTCCATGGAGCCAGTAAGGTTCTCTGGTCTTTGATCTCCCAGGCTGTGTTTATTTTAGGTTTCTTCCACAAGACTCAGAGGTAGGGGGGTGACCTTTGGGATGAGTTTTCTCACTCCAGTATGGTGGTATTTTCCTTTCTGGTAGGCCTAGGAAGGAGAGATCAACATTGCTGACCTGTGCAATATTCAGGAGTCATACTGTTAACTCCTGCCTGATACACTTTTGCAAATGAACAGAGTGTTGGGAGTGGGTGCCTGTGGGCTTCAGAGTATAAGAGATTAAGTGTATGAAAGAGCTTTCTACAAATCAAAGCTTAAATAATTGGCAAGCCCATGGATAAAGTTGTTATGGGGATATATATTCCCATATCTCATATCTTTGAATCACTTTCTCCAATAGCTCCACCTCTTTGGTGGTAAGTGTTCCCATTAGTGCTCATTTGGGGTCTATTATATTTTTCTTAAAGGGAAAATTAAGTTTAACATCCAGTGTACTTGCCCATTGACCAGGTAGTGGTATGTCTATTAGGTTAACTTTTCAATGACTTTTAATTGGTACATATCTGTGATCAGCAAGAGAGAGGCATTAGGCTTACTAAGAAGCTTAATTGCATCACTTCACAAGCCCCAGAGTGACTGTAAGTTCACCAGCAGTCTACCCCTAGGTTTGGCACTGCTCACAGTCTACTAAACATTGAAAATATAAACACCTCCAAAAGGAGAAATACATCAACAAATTCATACCAAACTGTAAGTAAAGTCTAAGCTTGGCTTCTTTTTTTAATTGGAGGGATAAGAGAGGCCTTGGTTGGGGAGGGGTGAGCTGTGTAGAAAGGGGTAGTGAGACCCCAAGGACAGACAGTATCTCCTCCACATGCTTGCCAAGGGGTAGTTATATACAGATGATTTGGGACTGGAAAAAGGCTAAGCGAAGACTACAGCATTTCAGGCCCTGACACTGTTACATGGAATTCTGTCAAGCACCTCTGCTTCCCAGATTCAATCCCTCTTGTCTGGTTGTCCCTTGATTTTTGGTTATTTCATTCAGTCCACCTCATTTGAACTTCTAGTCATTGTTTTCCATTGGGTTCCTCACACAGAGAACCCTGAGCTTTGGAGAGCCCCTTTTTTGTATTTTACAACTAAAACCCTAACAGACACACACACACACACAGGCACACACACACACACCTCCCCTTTATGGTTTTTCCTAATGGGGAGCTGAAAACCCATGCCTCATTGGACTAGTGTTAATTTCTGTCTGACCTGGTGACTGTATTTTTGAACTGCCTCTGACCTCTTGTTAGGACCTTCTAGATGTGAAGATAAATGTCCCAGAAAACATGCACAGCATTTCTCTGGGGAAGAATTCCAATCCTGCAGTGGGATCAGTAGTACTGAGAAGAACATTGAAGAGGAAGTCAGGAAACAGAGAAGGGCCTGGCTCTGCATCTACTTCATTCTGAGAATTTGAGCAAGTTAAATCTGAACTTCAGCTTCCTCACTTGTAACATGAGCACTGTTAGATTTGATGTTTACATCATTTAAGATTTTTAAAAATCAAACTACACTATACATACAATAACAACTATAAAAATGATAGTCACTATCTCTTGAACTTTTACTCTTCCATGCCCTGTACTAAGCACTTTTCATGGATTAATTCATTTGGTACTTACAATCTTTCATGATGAGTATTGTACTCTTTCCTTTTTTGCAGTTTTTATTTTAATTCCAATTAGTTAACATATAGTGTTATATTAGTTTCAGGTACATAATAGGGTCATTCAACACTTCCATACAAACCTGGTGCTCATCACAGCAAGTACATTCCTTAATCTTCATCACATATTTAACCTTGACCCACCCAACTCCCCTCTAGTAACCATCAGTTTGTTCTCTATAATTAAGAGTCTGCTTTTGACTTCTCTCTATCCCTCACTGTCTCTCTTCCCTTTGCTCACTTGTTTTGTTTCTTAAATTCCACATACAAGGAAATCATATTATATTTGTCTTTCTCTGACTGATTTATTTCATTTAGCATTATACTCTCAAGCTCCATCCATGTTGTTGCAAATGGTAAGATTTCATTCTTTTTTATGGCTGAATATGGTTAAATATGTAATATTTATATATTATATATTTATATATAATCCTCTTAATCATTCTTCAATCAATGAACACTTAGGCTGCTTCTATATCTTGGCTATTGTAAATAATGCTGCTATAAACATAGGGGTGCATGTATCCCTTCAAATTAGTGTTTTAATATTCTTTGGGTAAATACCTAGTAGAGCAATTACTGGATCATAGGGTAGTTCTATTCTTAACTTTTTTAATATTATCACTTTTTTTAAGTTGTTGTTTTAATTCCAGTTAGCTAACTTACAATGTTACATTAGTTTCAGGTGTATACTATACTAATCAACAGTTCTATACATCACCCTGTGCTCATCATGACAAGTGGACTCCTTAACCCCCATCACTTACTTAACCCATCCTCTCACCCACCTCCCATCTGGTAAATCAGTTTGCTCTCTATAGTTAAGAGTCTGTTTCTTGGTTTGCTGATCTTTCTTTCCTTCCCTTATGTTCATCTGTTTTGTTTCTTAAATTCCACATATGAGAGAAATCATATGGTATTGTCTTTCTCTGACTGACTTATTTCACTGAGCATAATACTCTCTAGCTCCATCCACATCACTGTAACTGGCAAGATTTCATTATTTTTTATGGCTGAATAGTATTCCACTGTATATAAATACCACATCGTCTTTTACCTATTCATCAGTTGATGGACACAGGCTGATTCCATATCTTGGTTATTGTAAATGATACTCTAGAAAAATAAGAGTGCATGTATCCCTTTGAATTAGTGTTTTGGTATTCTTTGGCTAAATACCTAGTAGTGCAATAGTTGGATCATAGGGTAGTTCTATTTTTAACTTTCTGAGGGACCTCCATACTGTTTTCTAGAGTGGCTGCACCAGTTTGCACTCCCACCAGAAATGCAAGAGGATTCTACTTCCTCCACATCCTCACCAACAGCTGTTGTTGATTTTAGCCATTCTCAAAGGTGTGAGGTGGTAGCTTATTGTAGTTTTGATTTGAATTTCCCTGATGATGAGTGCTGTTGAACATCTTTTCATGTGTCTGTTAGTCATCTGTACATCTTTGAAAAAATGTCTATTCAGGTCTTCTGCCCATTTTTTAATAGGATTGTTTTTTGGGAGTTTAATTTTTTTAGAGGGTGTTGAGCTTTATAAGTTTTATACATATGTAAAATGTTATGTTAGTCACCATATAGTACATCATTAGTTTTTGATGTAGTGTTCCATGATTCATTGTTTGTGTATAACACCCAGGGCTCCATGCAATATGTGCCCTCCTTAATACCCATCACTGGGCTAACCCATCTCCCACTCCCCTCCCCTCTAAAACCCTCAGTTTGTTACTCAGAGTCCATAGTCTCTCATGGTTCACCTCCCACTCTGATTCCCCCCCCTTCATTTTTCCCTTCCTTCTCCTAATGTCCTCCATTCTATTCCTTATGTTCCACAAATAAGTGAAACCATATGATAATTGACTTTCTCTGCTTGACTTATTTCACTTAGCATAATCTCCTCCGGTCCCATC